GGGCTCTCTTCCTATTGCCTCCAACTTCCTTCATTGTAGTTACCTCGTGCTCTTTAATGGAAGGCACGACACTAAATTCCTCATGTTTAGCTGTCTTAATTTTATTTTTATTTTTCTTAAGTTAGGAGAAGGTTCTAGAAGCTCTTCCTTTGCAACTTTAACTATGGTGTCCTCTACAGGTGCTTCTTGATAAATGTGTTATTTACTTGTATATCACCATTATATTCACACATTTATTAGCTTACTTACACCCAAATTAACATATAAAACCCCTAATTTATACTTTATTTGAATCTTGTCTTAATATTATGCATGCATTGGTCTTAAATTTAAAAGCATTAAAGAAAGACTCAATTGTCGAGCCAAATTAGGAAAATGACCTACGACTTAAAGACCAAAGTGAGGCTAAATTCGCTAGACGGGCTATACTTCACCTAGAAAAGCCAAACAAATAAGAAAATGGTTTGAGAATTCAAAGTCAATTAGATAGGAGGGTGGATCCTCAACTAGGGAATCTAAAAATATAAAGTTTGGGTTGGAAAATAGGGAAAGTTTGTTGGATGAATCACAACTCACCCAACAAGTCCAAGGCGGCTAAGAATGTGGTTTACAAATTACTTTGACGTGAAAAAACCAAAAAGAATAATTCTCTAAACAAATCACAACTCGTCCATTGACTACTTTTTGAATTCTATAAATATCAATCTTGACCATTATAACAATAATTTAATTTTAGTTAGTTTTTATCATTCAATTAAACTCTTAAGAAGAAAGATCTAGAGTGTTTGTAACAATAATATACAAAACTTGATGTATAATTATATTTAACATAAATAAAAATAACAAATCATAATTTTTTAATGTATAATATACATTTATTGAAGTTACATGTCTCTAATATTTATTGAAGTTACATGTCTCTAATACATTAATGGGGAGTCTCCTCTTCAATTTTACATCTTTGGATTAAGTTCTGAATCCAATCGTTATCATGCATAATTCAAATGTTTGCATTTGAGTATGGTCATTATATTTCAAGTCATTTGGTCGAGTTAATGGAGCAAGAACCATATTTGATGTTGGTTCAAGTTATGTGTATCATACCTCAAAAAATACGATCCTTCGCGATGGTCACGGAAAAATAGCTCGAATAGAGTCGCCACCAAACTTTATTTATTTCAATGAAGGAAAAGGAAAATATTGATAAAACCTTTAAAAAAGAAAATGGTTTTCGCAACCAAATTCGGGTTCGAGAGTCGATTACGCAAGGGTAAGGTATTAGCACCCCTCACGTCAATGTATTCAACGGGAACCTCTTAGTTAAATTTGCGATTGAATGTTAGCTTATGTCAATTGTTTTCTTCAAATGATAAAGGGTAAAAGAAAAGGGGTCACAAAAAGGTTTTTTTTATTAAGGTGCTTGACGAGATTGCAAGTCTTGCTCCTACGCATCCTCAAGTTCGATAAGGAGCTCAAAGCTTAGTAGTTGGGGGGGGGGGGTGAGGAGGCTACGGTTTCTTGGTTGGTGTGTTTTAATGAACAAATGTTTAGATCATGCTTTAATGGTTAAACGTTATTTGTGCTCGCAATTGGAGACTTAAAGCGTTTGTTTGTATGTACGTTAGAATTGACTAAACAATGTTCATTTAAGAAAAAAAATTAATCGCACGGGTGCGAAAATATGAGTTAATATGTTGAATGTTTTGTTTGAATGAAAATTACTCGAATAGTCGAGTAAGGTAACTTGTATCCTAATAATCAAGGAGAGGAATGGAAGGCTCCAGACATATCCCTTTTCATTCTTAATTGCGAAAGGATTTGATATAGTATAGTTTTTTGAGTGGATGACGAATAATCGAATGATCGAGTAAGGCAACTCGTATTCAAATATTCAGGGAAGGGAATAGAAGGCTTTAGACAAATTCCTTTTTCATCTAAGTCTTTAAGAAAATAGATTTGATTTGATTTAATTATGAAAAAGGTTTTAAGGTGAATCAGATTATAATTCTTTAATACATGCCGATTGCTCGAATGGTCGAGTAAGGCAACTCGTATCCAAATAATCGAGGAGAGGAATCGAAGGCTCGAGACCACCTCCATTTTCATCCTTAACGAAAGGGTTTAGATATTGTTATTGTGTTTTAAATAAATGACAAATACTCGAATGACCGAGTAATGGAACTCGTATCCAAATATTCGAGGAAGGGAATAGAAGGCTCGATACCACTTCCCTTTTCGTCTAAGTTATTGTGAAAATGATTTGATTTGATTGGATTAGATGTTTTTAAAAGAGATGACAATTGTTTGACTAATCGAGTAAGGGAACTCGTACCAAAACAATTGAGGAGAGGAATCGGAGGCTCGAGACCATCCCCTTTTTCATATTTAATGAAATTGTGTTTATATATATATGTTAATGTTTTGATTTGATTTGGATAAAATACTCGGTGTTGATCGAGGTTTTAATTTGCTCTCAAAACAAAATTTGGGAACGATGTGAGAATATTCACTTAGCGTTGGATCAAGGGATTTGGGAAATCCTCACTTGGCATTGGACCAAGGGATTTTTGAATATTGAAAAAAAAGTTTATTTAAGGTTAAAGTCACTACAATCATTACTACTTAACAAAATATCTTAAACAAATATTAGGATACATATTTAATAGCCAAAGCACGTGATTTGAATGAATAAGCGTAAAATGTGCATGAACATGTAGGAAAATAATCATGGTAAGAAAAAATTATTCATGCAAGAATTAATTAATTAAATCCTATTTTTATTAACTATTTAAGTTTATCTCTTTAATCAATTTAACTAATTAATGAAACAAAAATTCATTATCTAATTAACTTAATTAAAATTTTATTTAATTAGTTAATAGAAACATAGTTAAAATTAATTAACAATGTAACATAAAAAATAAATAAAATAAATGAAAATATAAAAGAAAAAAACTAACAACTAGGCCTAAGAAGACAAAATCAACCTAAACTCAACTCTGCAGTGAGGGTTCTGACTAAAAGGGAGAGATGTACTGGGTTGGGCCCATGAAGATGGCCCAAACCTGAATTTTGAACCAATCATGGAAGGAACACACAAGACCTAACCGTTACTTTCTAGTATGCGCATGGGGAAGGGAATTAATGGCTTTCCAGTTGACAAAAAAACCAGCACATCTTCCTACTTGCTGCCCTTAAAAAGTTGATTCCCAAAAAAAAAGTAATGACAATGGGAATACCAAGTGAACAACATGCAACAGAGGCTGCCTACACACGTCCTCACCTTCTGCCACGCTTATGACATGAACTAACTACAACATTCACACACCAATAGATAACAACGGCTGAAATGGCAAAAAGAGGAGAGTAAGAAAAAAGTCCCCTCTCTCAATGTTACACTTGTCCTGGTCTGCCATTATCTCCTACATATCATCAATTTACTTTTAAAGGAAAATAAATATCATTCAATGCTTTTTTTAATGTAGTGCCTTACTTTTGAAACATATATACCAAACTAGCCTAGGTTGAAAAAAAAAACACAAGAATACCTTAACTGCAAGGCTTGCTCGTCCACTCAAGTGGCGAGCTAATGAGTTGTTTTTGCTGATGAAGGTGCTCGTCCACTTAATTGGCGAACACGTAATGTTTTTTTTCTTTCATATTTATATTTCATATAAATCATTTATTTAATAATTTTAAATATAAAAAACATATTATAAAATGTATTATATTAATTTAATACTTATACATCAATTAAAAATAATATATTTAAAAATTATATTAATTTAATAATTAAGTACTAATTAAAAATATATTATATTAATTAAATATAATAATAAAATATATCAAACAGAAATACAATTTACATATAAATTTTCTCAAAAATGACCCCTAGTTTCACACCTAGTGGCCCTTTTATGTCGATATCTCCTGCCCACACGTTCATTTGCATTTCTTGTAGGTGATTAAGATGAATCGGAAGACATATCCCGATTGTGATGTGTTGTAGGGGGTCCACCTGCCTTGAAGGGGTTCTGCTTGTGTCGAGGGTTGCTCAACAAGAAGATCATCAATGTTAAAATTTGGCATTTCCATTGGTTGATCCTTCGTCAGCAAAAAATGTTGGAATGAATATGATGGTTGGGTGTAGGTTTTGGGTTGGGTTTGTTTGAGAGTTGGATAGTAGACACCATCAGACATGAAGGTGGGGGTGGGTTGAGAGAATGAAGTGTTGAAGGTTTGATGTTGGAATTGAGGGTTTGATTGATCAAAGTTTGGCGGAGGAACTAGAATGAACTGTAAGGGTGGTCGAAGGTTGGATTAGGGTTGATATTGTTGGTTATAGTTGTAGTGGTAGTTTTGTCGAGGGAGTGGAGTGTAGGGAGTTTGGTGTTGGGATGAGGATGCATAATATATGTCTTGTTCGGTGGTCTGTGTGCGTTGGTATGTATGCTGAGACGATGAAGATGCATGCCCCTCAAATTGAGATGTGTATGTTGGTGTCACATCCTGATGCATTGGTGCGACATTTGGTTATGTTGATAACGAATCTTGCATGCGAGGGTCGATCAAAAATTGGTCCGGAGAAATATGCACATACGGAATGACACGAAACCAATTTAAATACTCTTTACTTGGCTTGCGTTCACCAACTACAGCGTCCCCTGCAAAATCAAATATCTTCTATGTTACCATTATTTCACCTCCTCTTTGTTTAAGTCTCGCCAATGAACTTTTTAGTCTTTTCTCATCGTCATTGTGTGGTGTTCCCTTAGACACCTTGGCAGGGAAGGGATTTGTTGTTCAAATTCAAACTGAAGTTTTACCCTATCTGTTTGATGCATTTCAACCGTATAGAAACAAATAAGAGAAGTTGTAACACTCCAGATCTGGCTATCTCTAAGATTGGGTACCGAGTATTGAATGTACGGACTCCATATAAACTGTTACATGTTAAAAAAATTATAATACAATTAAGGCGTATATGCAACAACCAGGTTCTATGGTTTCAAACTCACGTCTTTTTCTTGCATATGGTCCAATGCGTTTCGATACCCTTGTAGATGGAAACGAGGATTAACATCGTAATTAATGCGTCTTTGGGTCCATCTTGCAGAAACAAAAAATATAAATATCTTAGGCAGAATTGACTAACAAATATATATATATATATATATATATATATATATATATATATATATATATATATATATATATATATATATATATATATATATATATATATATATATATATATATATATATATATATATATATATATATATATATATATATATATATATATATATATATATATATATATATATATATATATATATATATATATATATATATATATATATATATATATATATATATATATATATATATATATATATATATATATATATATATATATATATATATATATATATATATATATATTAATCTAGTAATACCTTTGAGCATATGGATATGATGGTTGCAATGTACTAACAGGATCAAATAATGGTATACACGTGAATGTCCAAGAAGTGAGTAGAATAACACAACCGATCATGCTCTTGACATCTTTGATTGCGGTCTTGCACATTTTTCTGTACAGTTTTGCAAGACATGCAGAACCCCAACTAAAGGTGTTGTATTTTTCTAGATCCCCTACGAAAGGAATCCAAGAAGAATGCAAAAGATTTTGACTCTTGTCGAGAAACAAAATAGTAGCAATTACAAGTAAAATATAAACTTTAGCTTGTAAAATAGTATGTTTTTGGGTTGGAGCAGGGTTATTTTTTAAAACTTCGTACAAATTCTCTAGCCACGTAATCCTAACAGAACCTCTGTTTTTATCCGCTTCTGTAGGTTCCACCCCTAAGTTCTCCATGCAAACATCATTTGTTACTTCGGTAGGACTGTTGATAGCTTTTCCATAAACTCGGAGACCAAGTAACATATTCACATCTTCTAACGTTATCGTGCATTCACCTGTTGGAAAATGAAACGTATGTGTTTCTGGTATCCATTTCTCTAACAGAGCTACAACTAGGCTGGAGTCGATTTTGAGACTATTTATTTTTGCGATATTAGCAAAACCTTCTATTTCTAAATACGGGATTATTCTCGCAGTAGCTTGAATGGGAGCATGAGAATGCACTCGAAACCTTGCATTAGTCTGAAAAGAAATGAAATAATATTGAACACAAAAATTATAAACATTATTACATAGAATAGTAGAGGAAACCTTACACTAGCTTGAATGTTTAATTGGGTTCCACGGTGTTCATCGCCCATCCACAACAAAGACATTTTAATAGAGTGTAAATTTTTTTGGAAAAATGCTTGAGTGGTTGTTGTTGCTAGATTGTTTTATGATAGAAGTAAAAATGTTTGTAGAAAAATGTTTGAAGTAAAAATGAATTTATAGATGAAGTAAAAATGTTTGAAGTGTAAATGTGAGAAATAGAAGTGACATTACATTGAGTTCTGCATGACATTGGTACTGGTTAATTGCATGAAACGTCACTTCTATTTGTCACATTTACACTTCAAACATTTTTACTTCATCTATAAATTCATTTTTACTTCAAACATTTTTCTACAAACATTTTTACTTCTATCATAAAATACTCTAGCAACAACAAACACTCAAGCATTTCTCCAAAAAAATTAACACTCTATTAAAATGTCTTTGTTTGGATGGGCGATGAACACCGTAGAACACAATTAAACATTCAAGCTAGTGTAAATTTCCTCTACCATTCTATGTAATAATGTTTATAGCCTAGTTGTAGCTCTGTTAGAGAAATGGATACCAGAAACACACATGTTTCCTTTCCCAACAGGTGAATGCACGATAACGTTAGAAGATGTGAATATGTTACTTGGTCTCCGAGTTGATGGAAAAGCTATCAATGGTCCTACCGAAGTAACAAATGATGTTTGCATGGAGAACATAGGGATGGAACCTACTGAAACAAATAAAAACAGAGGTTTTGTTAGGATTACGTGGCTAGAGAATTTATAAGAGGTTTTAAAAAATAACTATGCCCCAACCCAAGAACACATTATTTTACAAGCTAAAGTTTATATTTTACTTGTAATTGCTACTATTTTATTTTCCGATGTGAGATGTTGGATCGAACTCTAGTATGGTCGAAGTTTGTTCGCGAGTAATGCATGTTGTAGTCGAAGTCTGTTCTAACATGCATTAGTCAATATTGCTAGGGTTGTTAGCATGTTGAATTGGGCCTTGCTTGTAAGCCCAATTGTTTAAGTTAGCTTGTACCCTAAGTTAGCTTGTAATGGGTAATTGTTAAAAAGCCCATTAGGTTAGTGTGCTATTTTATTATAAATTGGATGCTAATTTCTCAATCTTGGCATAAGGAAAAATAGGAAGATAAAATCCTAATTTCAAGAGAGAGAGAGGTTATTTTGTTATTCTTGTATACTTGTAATCTTGTTCTAAGAGAAAGGAAAGATAGCAGTTTAATAACCAATCCTTGTTGTTTTCTTCTTTATTAACATAACCCTTGTGTGTTTCTTGCTAAGAAACCGTTTATACTTTATTTAAAGGTATCTGATTCACAACAAATTGGTGCGGTGAGCGTGGAGGAGATGCCTTCAACAAAGTATGAGATTGAAAAGTTCACCGGAGTGAACGACTTTGGTCTGTGGCGCTTGAAGATGAAAGCCCTATTGGTTCAGCAGGGTTGTTTGGAAGTGTTGAAGGGTGAGGCAGCCATGGACACTGCGTTAACGGCAAAAGAAAAGACAGGCATGATTGAGAAAACCCACAGCGCAATATTGTTGAGTCTTGGTGATAAGGTTCTTCGACAGGTATCAAAGGAAACTACAGCATCGGGATTATGGATGAAACTTGAAAGTTTGTACATGGCCAAATCTCTGGTGAATCGACTCTACCCGAAGCAAGCTTTATATTCATTCAAGATGAGTGAAGACAAAGTGTTGGGTGAGCAGTTGGATATGTTCAACAAGTTGATTCTTGATCTTGAAAATATTGATGTGAAGATCGACAATGAAGATCAAGCACTTGCTGCTGTGTGCTTTGCCCAGATCACATGCTCACTTCAAAGAAACTCTCTTGTATGGAAGGGAGTCCCTAACCTTTGAAGAAGTTCAATCAGCTTTGTACTCTAAGGACTTGAACGAACGAAAGGAGTATAAACCTTCGACGGTGGGCAAAGGTTTGGCCGTTAAGGGAAAATTCTTGCGAAAGGATGGTAAGTTCGACAAGAAGAAAGGTAAAAGTCAACAGAAGTCTTATAGTGGCGAAACATCTAGTATTCGATGTTATCGCTGTAAGAAGGAGGGTCACATAAGAAAGGTGTGCCTTGAACGCCTGAAAGATCATGGAGGTAATGGCAATGCAGCCATTGTTCAAGATGACTTCGACTCATTTGATGTTCTTGTGGTTTCAAGTGACGACTCGAGGAAAGAGTGGATTATGGATTCAGGTTGCACTTGGCACATGACTCCAAACAGAGAATTGTTCGAAGAGCTATGTGATCAAGATGATGGATCTGTGCTGCTGGGAAACAACAAATCTTGCAAAATTGCAAGTATTGGATCTGTGAGATTCAAGCTCCATGATGAGTCAATAAGGTTATTGACTGAAGTCAGGTACGTACCTGACTTGAAGAGAAATTTGATTTCTCTTGGTGAATTCGACAGAAAAGGATACGTTTTTCAAGGAGAGAAAAGTATCCTAAGAGCCATGAAGGGGTCAAAGGAAGTCTTGAGAGGCGTGAAGAAACAAGGCTTGTATACCCTTGAGGCTAAGGTTGTAAGTGGTTCGAAAAATGTTGCATCCACGAAACTTATGTCGAAGACAGAATTATGGCACATGAGATTGGGCCATGTCAGCGAAAGAGGCCTGGTCGAATTGGGGAAGCAGAACCTGCTAGGAGGTGACAAAGTCGAAAAGTTGGAATTTTGTGAATCTTGTGTATTTGGTAAATCCTGTAGGGCGAAATTTAACAAAGGCAAACAAAGAACACATGGATCCCTGGATTACATTCATGCTGATCTTTGGGGGCCTGCAAGGAATCCTTCACACTCAGGTGCAAGGTATTTTCTATCCATCATTGATGACTATTCCAGAAAGCTATGGGTATTCATTCAGAAGACGAAGGATGAAACTTTTGAGAACTTCAAAAGTTGGAAGATTCTGTCGAGATGTATCAACAGTCGAGATGTAGTTTTCAATGAAGCAGAGATAGCTTTCAAGAAAACTGATGATGCTGACGAAGAGCTGGAACAGAGAGAGATTCCTATTGAGAATTTTCAAAACTTTTGAGAATTTCACAGAAGGTGTATCAAGAGTCGAGATGTAGTTTTCAATGAAGCAGAGATAGCTTTCAAGAAAACTGATGATGTTGATGAAGAGCTGGAACAGGGAGAGATTCCTATTGAGGTGGAGCATGTTGATGCTGAATTGCTTACACCAGATGAAGTCGAAGAAGATGCAGAAGATGTTGTCGAAGATGAGGAGATTGATAATGACTACTGTTAGATGCCCAATTGTGCTTATTTGAGCTATCAAATGTGGGCATTTTTCGCTCCTTTTTGTCCTAAAAATGTATTAAACCGCCTCGCTTTTGTTGATTATGCATCATTGTGTTAAATGCTCTTGGTCCCTTTGATTTGTGTGCTATTGTGCAGGATTTGAGCTTGAAAGAATATAATTTGAATACACAAGAGAGTTGACAAAGGAATCAAGCAAATAAGAAGAGCAAAGGCTGGTTCGCTAGGCGAACACCTGGCGAGTGAGTAGCGAGTGTTCGCTGCAGCCTCGCCTAGCGAGCTGTTAGCGAATACTCCCAGACTTGGGCAGAAGCATTCTTGACATCATTCGCTGGTAGCGAGCATGTGGCAAAAGACTCGCTAGGCGAGCTTCGAGCGAGCACCTAGCGAGCAGCTCCAGAACCAATCAAGCATCCTTCGCTGGCTGGTTCGCTGCAGCGAAGACATAGCAAAGCAAGACAGAAGAAAAACTGCAGTCCTCGCTAGCATGTTCGCTAGGCGAGCCTATAGCGAGCATTCGCTAGCAGCTCGCCTAGCGAGTAGGTAGCGAACGTGCCAGATTTTCTACTTTCTATAAGTAGGATGGGCTACTTTTTGGACAGTATCTTTTTTTTTACTTGTTTTTACATAGTTTTGCTGTGGAGTGAGATTTTGTGCCCTAGAACCCTTTTGGCTCTCATTTCTTCATCTCTTAACATATTCCAACAAAAAGAAGGTGGATTCTCATCCAAGTTGGATCATTCGACCCAGATGTTCATCAACCTTCTTCCGAAACTTCTTTTGCAAGCTACCATGAAAATGAGTGGCTAAGTTCTTCATTTTGTCAAGGTTAGATGTAGGTGATCATTAAGCTTTGTATGTATATGGATGATCTTCATTTGTAAAACTCTTTGATGATGAATATATGGTGAAAACCTTGTTTTATTTATAACCTTTTGTGTTGGTTCTTGATTGAAAGATATTTTCCAACTCTTGACCTGGGTTTTCATCCATCTCCTTTCTTGAGCTAGAAATAGTCTTGAATGTTGTTGTTCACTAAAATGTTAAACCTAAATGTTGTCATTTTGATAGATTGTGTGAGAAATCAACAATGGATCAAAATGGGAAATATCACAATGTGAGTTAGAGATAATCATATTGGGAGGATATTGTGAATGTGTTTATCATTAAAAAGAGTTTATGCATTGTTGATCGAACATATACATGCAAAGTGATTATCAAACCCTAACTTTGGCAATCTTTATTTAAATCGTAAAACCAATATTTTACCGCATTTCTTACTTTTATGCAAAGCTACCGTGATATAAAACCAAACCCCCTTTTGTTACTATAAAGTTATAAATTTATCAACTGTCGAACGACAGCAATATCTCATATTCCATGTGGAGACGATAACAAAAACCCGACACT